TAGAACTTGCGAATTCGTCACGTATTAGTTGTGAATATCTTATATCTAAATTGAGTAAACCAGACAAAATAATTTGTACAACAAAATGTTGCAATAAACCAATCAATTTAAATTTAATAAATGGCAATAGCAATAATGGCTGCAATAGTAATAATGGCTACTTTTTGAATCCTTATTCAAAAAATTCTGTATATCTTTTAAATGCTAGAAGCCTTGCAAATAAACTGCACACATTTTTTATGTTTATGGAGGCAAATAAATGTGCCATAATTTGCTTTTGCAAAACATTTTTTACCAGTAAAATATCTGACTCTATTGTTTGTTCAAAAGATTACTCAATCTATCGTAAGGATCACATTAAAATTGGAGGGGGAGTAGCTATTTATTGTAGAAATGTTGTCTATATTGATTTCCAAAAAGCGTTTGACTCTGTCTCGCATACTAAACTATTAGTAAAACTTGCATCCTATAACATAAAAGGTAATCTTTTAAATTGGATTTCCGCTTTTCTTACCAATAGATATCAACAAGTCAAGGTCAGTGATTCTATATCTAACTCTATACGCATTGTTATTGGAGTTCCACAGTGTAGTGTGTTAGGTCCCACATTGTTTTTATTATATGTTAATGATTTAACCGCTATAACTAATAATCTCAACTGCTGTATAAAACTTTACGCAGATGATATAAAGTTATATAGTTAGTACCGTGATATGGATCTAAGCCAAGATTTAGTTGTTGCTTTAAATAGACTTTTTCAATGGGCAGAAACTTGGCAACTAACAATTGCTTGTAGTTAGTGTTTTGCACTTAGAATAGCGCCTCCCTCATTATGCAAAGGTATAAAGGTTAACTATAAATTAGGTGGATATTCTTTGGCTTGGTCTTCAAACCCAAAAGATCTAGGAGTAACAATAGACTGTAACCTTAATTATAAAAAACATGTTTTTAACGTCATCCATCAAGCTAACTCTAGAGCATACTTAATTTTGAAATGTTTTAAAACACATGACCCTTGTATCCTATTTAGAGCTTTCACTACCTATGTACGACCAATTTTAGAATATTGTTCTCCAGTATTGTCGCCACACCAAATTGGATTGATCAAATCAGTTGAAAGTGTCCAACGAAAATTAAAAAAAAAAATAAGGAGCCTTAGAAATCTTTCTTATCATAATAGATTACAGTTGCTTGGTATCGAATTACTCAAAGTTCGGCACCTTAAAAATGACTAAGTAACTTGCTTTAAAATTTTTCGTAAACTTGTCTGTACTGATCAACCTATGTTCTTTGCGATTGACAATAACAGCCACACCCGGGGTCATAATTATAAAATAAGCAAACAATCTTGTCGCTTGGATTTAAGAAAATATAGCTTTTCTTACTGAGTCGTTGGCATGTGGAACAATATGACCTCGGAGGCTGTAAATGCAAATAATATTTTAACGTTCAAAAATAAAATTAAATCTTTGGACTTTAACAAATATCTATTGTAAAAGGAACAACTATTTGTTTCTTTATAGTTTTGTTATTTTTTTTTTTGTAGCGATATTTTTAAATTTCTTTGACCACGTTGTTAGTGTCCATCTTTGTATGGGCCTTCGTGTCCTTTAGAACATGTGTTTATACTTTATTCTAATAAATATCAATCAATCAATCAAAGCCTCTGGTTTGAAGAAGATTCTCAAATATGACTATTTTACTTTTAACAGATGTTGGCCAGGCCCCTTTTGTCCCTTCAGAATTGCAATATTTATTTAGATCTGGGTCGTTCCGTGCCAAGTGGTGCAGAGGTCCCTTATGGACCATCTCAGATTTTATTGAAATTTTTTGATTTTGTACATATATATGTTAAAAGCATGTTTTGAAAATTTTAGATCAATATATAATATGGTTCTTGAGAAAACGCTATTTAAGTAGTGGGCTATTATGCATAAAATTTCACTCTACAAGAAAAAAGATTTTTTTTGGCATTTTTATCAGCCAACAACTTTTGAACAAATTAGTTTCATGCTTCAGTTATTTTTAGTTAGCAAGTGTGCTGTGGATACATTAGGAAACAAAAAAAATTTCATTTCTGGCATCTTAACTTTTTCCATAATGGCGGTCTAAAGTTGAGATTTTTGTTTTTAAAATAGTTTTTTTTGTGATTTTAATGATCTTTATCTTGAAAACTAGTTAAAAAATTAATAAAAATCAAATTGCCTGCTAATCTACATGTGGTGGATAAACATTAAAAAAAAAATCAGTTGATTAAAGAGCTGCATTTAAAAGTTATAGGTCTCCAAAATGAGTCAGATCGAGATTTTCGTAAAATTGATCTGTGATGCAAAGCATCTGTTACCTAAGATGGCACTTTTTTTTTTTCATTAAATTTTTTATACGCATCAATTAAAGACTGTTAATTAATAAAAACCAAAAAAATTAATGGGCGCTTATTTATAACCCCAAAAGGTAGTCTCTAAAAGTCAGGTAAATTTTCCATAAAATTCTGAAATTGACGTGTTAAATAAATGCATTGGATTATATAATGTTATTTATTATGAAATATCAATTAAAAAATATTTTTTTTAATGAAAAACAAACAAAATGTTTTTAAGAAAATAAACAAAATTAATAAAATTTACAAAAAGTTAAATTTCTCAAATAATAAAATAATCTTTTAAGTCAATACTATAAAATC